CCCCAGCTCCCTCCCTGCCACCCCACAGACAACCCGGAAGCTGCTCCTGGACTTTTGGGGGAGAAGGGGTTGATCCCAAGCTCCCCCCTTACCAGTAGCTTCTTCTAAACGGGGCAGCTGCTTTCTGCGCCGTCCCAAGGAAGGTGTTGACGTCGGCCACGAGGATTCCTTTACTTTCAAGGACCTCCCTGCTGACGCTGGGCTTTTCTGCAAAGGGAGGAGCGGCTCCGTAATTCAAACAAGCAAACAAGGTTGTTCTGAAACGTACAGATAATATCCCCAAATCCCTCTGCAGTTAGTTACTCTGTTTTGCAAATGCGAGCAGATTAACGGCGCCGCGCTGCAAACAGCCTCGGCCCAGTAAGGCCAGAATTAGAGCGTGACGTACAGCCATCCGCAGGCTCGAAAAACTGCCAGAACTTAGCAGCCCTCCAAAAATCTGTTCCTGTTGCCTTTTACCACATTGACTTGCAATGAATCAACACACACCTTCACTGTGATTCTAGCAGAAATGCGAGCAAAATGGGGTGTTTCTGTCCCTCCTCCACCACCTCCCCCCAAACTCATGGGGGTTGAGGGCACCAGCACAGGGCAGCGCCTGGAGCCCGTCCTTACCAGTGAGATACACGGCGAACCTGGCGCTGACGTGCTGAACCTGCAGGTTCAACAAGCACTTGACATACTCAGATTTGGGGGACAACCGGGAGTCGCAGGCGTGGTAGTGCAGCACCTCGATAAGATTGGCTCCTTGGCACGACTTGAGGATCAAGTGCTTCTTGCGGGTGTTGGCGTCCACCCTGCCAGGAGAGGAGCAAGACTGAAGTGGTGAGGGGCTTTACCCCTTCTCCCCTCCCAGGGAATCAGCAGGTATGATGGGACCTGCCTTTCCCCCCCACGCGTGTTTCTTCCAGCCTCATGGGTGTTTTCATGCTTGCCACCCTGCACGAAATGGAGATGGCAGGAGCAAGCGTCACCGCACGCAGGAGGTAAACCAAAATGACTCCTTGCTCCAGGCAGCTCCAGCAGACCAGGGCTCGTGGTCCCAACACGATGGAATCAGGAGATGCTACCTGAGTGCCAGTGTCAGAGCACAAGGAAAACACTTTGCTCCACAGCAGCGGCCGCTGATGAGGTTGAGTCCTCATCCCACTGACTACGATGAAATACCCGACAGCTTCTGTGACACCTCACTGCTCGAGGTCTGAAAACCAGGTCTTCAGAACGATTGCTTTGTGCTATCACCGTACAGGCTGAGTGTGGAGGGGACCCGAGATTCTCCTCATTTGTTGTAGCGTTTTCTGCTCAGACAGAGCAGACCAGCTTCCCCTTTGTCCGCAGGTTGTTATGAGAAAGCCGTTTGCTCTGGCACTAACAAAGGCAGCCTGCCCGACAAAACAACCCCTCTCTAAGTTCAACCGTGATAAAAGCAGGACGTTTCAATGGATAGCATTCGCCATCTTACTTCCCTTTTTCAGACTGCATCATTGAAATACACATTGTTGCACATAACCTAAAATAATTAGCAAATACAAACCGGAAAAGCTCTGCTTTTCCCGGCAGGGTCTGACTTTACACACTCCCCCAAACTCCCCCAAGACACCCCAGTTCCCCTCCACATTACAAATTCTGAGCTCCTCATCGCTCGCCCAAATCACACACGTGATGGGACAGAAAAAGAAACAAGCAAAGAGGCGGCAGCGGGGCAGAGAGAGGCCCGGGAAGGTACCCCGAGCTCCCGGCGTGCCCATGTGCAGGGGCTGGGGTGAGCTGCTGGGAAGGGAGCTCAGTTTGCAGAGGCAGCTTTCGCAGCCTGCAGCTCCTCAAACGAAATTTGTGCCTTTCCTCAGCCCCTTGCAGGCTGTTAACGCTCACAGATAGCGTCTCTGCCAAAGAGAGGGGGGAACTGCCTTATGGAGATACAGCGGGGTGCACAAAGCAGCTGCCAGAGCTCTGCCTCATCGGTGATCACGTGCAAGACACGTTTCAGGCCATCTGATCCTCTCCAGGTCCCGTGTCCTGCTGCTCCATCTCATATAGGTATAAAAAAAACCTATTGCATTTTACTTGCTAGTGTGCAAATACGGACCTCTGGTGATTCCAGACTTGAGGCACATGGTCCCTCACTAATAAGAAAAGTTTTTATTTAAACAAAAATCTTCAAATTCATCTTGTAAACAGCCAAAACTCAACCAGAGGCACCTAACTCGCCCTGTGTCCCTGCACCGAGTGTAAAAAAGGACACCACACTCCACCACGGTGGGTGTGTCCTTCCTGCGGTGACGAGGACAGTGATGAGGGAGCTGCCACCGCAGAGCCGTTACCTGATGTCTTCTCTGAGCTTCTTGCTCTCCTTATAGTGAAGGAGCCACTTCCACCTCCCGCTTCTGTTCAGCTTCTCCAGCACCTTCACCACCTCTTTCAGTTGGCCTGTGGAGACAGTAAGAGTGAGAGGGTAACCAAGGGTGGAAAGGGGTGCCTGGGGGTCTGTGGTGCAACCCCTGCTCAAAGTTGGGCCACCTGAAGTTGCTTAGGGCTTTGCCTAGGTGAGGTTTGAAAATCTCCAAGGACAGAAAACACCGTTTGCTGTGAATTTTTTCCTCTTAATATCTAACAGGATAAGAGCAACTTGTCCTCGTCACCTCTCGTCCCATCACTGCGCATCTCCAGAAGCGTGGCTCCGTTTTCTCTGCCAGTTCCCATTAGGGAGCTGATAACAGCAACCAGGTCTCCCCTTTGTCCTCCCTTCTCCGGGCTGAATGTCCTTGTACAACCCCTGCTCCAGTCCCTGACCATGCTGGTGGCCCCCACTGTAATTAGATGCTTTTGGGAGCCCTGACCTGGACCCACTATCCAGATGGGGTCTACAAATATCAAATAGAGGGAAAGAATTGCGCCCACTAAAGCAGGAGTAGAGGACACTGATGGCAAGTTTTTGGAAGGTGTTGGCAAACCAGCAGACGAGGCCGGGAGCCGATGCTGCATGTCTGCATCTAAGCGAGAGGCCGCAGCGAGACTCACCCAGCGTTACCATTTCCAACACCTCCTCGTCTGACACCACGAAGCCACCGGTATGAAACAGCTCCTGGTACGTGCGACCTGGTATATCTTCGGGGCTGTCCACGCCGGCGAACACCACATTGGGACAGTGCTTTAGCTTCAGCAAGCACGGGACCTGCTCAAGGCAGAGATGCTTTTGCACAAGCAGCTGAGTTTCAACAGCGTTTGCAGCACTCTGCAACTCACAGTCACTCCTGGGAGACCTGGGGAACCCACCCCATCCTCTGTCTGCATCACCTGGATGGTCGTGTCTCCATAGCCCAACCCCAAAGCCGTGGACAGCAATATAGGGTGTTACAGGTGGGTCAGTCTGCTACAATATTCACTAGAACCCAGAAGCCAAAGCCTGGCTGAACTGCTCCGTTACACTATATAACCCCAGCCTGAATCCTTCAAGCTGGGCTGCTCTGAATGACATTATTCAGCGATCAAAAATGCAGACAGAAGAAAAGCAGAACTGACAGGCTTCATGCTTTTGAGATATTGTTTTTAACAGCTCTTCATGAAGCACTCTTTCAGCAGAGGGAACAGTGCATCTGCAGAGGCTGACAATTAAATCTACAGCTATATATAGTGTAAAATTTAAAATCTTTAAATTGGATCCCGATATTCAAAAATGGTGCTGGTAGGAAAAAAGGACAGACTCAGGCCTTACGTTGTGGATATGTGAGGAAATGTCCTCATTCCTGATGATGACAAGCAGCCTGTCAGTGTCTGCGTGTTTCGCTTCACAGAAGCTCAGGGGTTCGACCTCCACACGGCCGTCTTTCTTCAGCAAGGTCTGAAACAGAAACGATGTAAGAAGGTTTGTACAGAGAGTATCTCCACAACAGCAGTGCCACGCTCCTGGTACACACGTGTCTGGGGACGAGCAGAGAGGAACGAGACAGCGACCCCAACCAGGCACCCTGGTGTCGAGGGCAGCCTGCGGTGTCCGTCTGTCAAAGGCACTGCGCACTCCAGGCTGGGGCTCCAGACAGAGGGGGAAGAAGCAGCTATTTACCGTTGTTGGCAAAAACCTTTTAGAAAACCACCTCAACCATCTCACCATACCATGCATCGGGCCTCTTCACTATTCTGGAGCAGCAAATCTTCCCCTGCAATCACCGCCCCGCCCCCAGCTTCCAACCCTTTAATGAGAGCTCAAGCAAAAGTCACCTTGAGGGGGTTGAGTTTGGGCTGCACCTGCATGAACTCTGATCTGTTTTGGCCTGGGGGATGTTCAAGTGATAGGACGAGAGGAAACGGCCTCAAGTCACACCAGGGGAGGTTTAGATTGGATATTAGGAAACATTTCTTCACTGAAAGGGTTGTCAAGCAATGGAACAGGCTGCCCAGGGAAGGGGTTGAGTCACCATCCCTGGAGGTATTTAAAAGACGTGTAGATGTGGCACTTGGGGACATGGTTTAGTGGTGGACTTGGCAGTGTTAGGTTTACGGTTGGACTTGGTAATCGTAAGGCTCTTTTCCAACCTAAATGATTTTATGATTCCAATTTCTGGTGGTGGGAGCCGAGATGAAATGGCAGAGGTGGCTCCTGGCTCAAGGGAACCACATGCCATCTGTGTCAGGTTGGGCAAGCTTGCCCTGCGCCTGCTCCTGCTGCCCTCAGCTCTCGCCGCAGGGCCACCCGTCCCTGACCCCGCCGCCAGGACCAGCGTTACCTTCACTCTTGCAAAGAAAGGGTCCTTGCCCGTCTCCGCCAGGTAGAACATGGCGGTGCGGCCGCAGGCCTCCTTGGCCACGCTGCGCAGGTGGAAACGCAGCGTGCTGCACAGGTCCGCGATCATCTCCTCGAAGGCGGCCATCCTCCCAGGGAAGGACACGCATGTCCACTCGCTCGAGGCCCGCCCGTGTGCCGGGCCCGGCCCTCTGCCCTCGCTCCCCGCGTCAGCCCTGCTCAGCACCACCCTGTTGAACTCGGCGAACTCATCGAGGATGACGGCGATATCCCCCTGTGAGTCCTTTAGCTTATTATCGTATTTGAGCTTGCTGAGGTGGAAGGGAGCTGCGCAGCCCTGCCTCGGGGTTTGGGATCTGGCCCTGCTCCTCTCGTCGCAGAGGGGCTCCTGCCACAGGGCACACGGGTCCCCACGCCAGCTGCTTTGCCGGTGCCAGCCGAGCCCGCTCGGCCACGTGTCAGAGGGCAGGATCGTCACCTGCAAAGGGCTCCTGCACCGCGGGGAACGTGGGACGGGAGCTTCTCGCAGAGGCAATGTCTTAGACATCACCTGGGGAGAAAAGTCTTTTGGAAAGATGCTTTTGGAGGTAGAAAAGTGTGGTTTCCCACTCCTTAGGATTTGTTTTAGCTTATAATGGAAACGGAGACACTCCATGTCCAAAGTGTGCTGGGTGATTTCCTCAAAACCCCTCCAAGTCCCCATCAGTGACCCTAACAAATGAGACTGCCCCGCACGGTGGCTGCACCTCTTCGAAGATTGCAAATTTCTCATCTTTTCCTGGCACTTTTTGGTGACCACGAAGTTCTGGTAGTCCTTGGCAACTCCCTGGCTGTCCCTAATATTGACGTACGGTGGAACGTGCCCACTGCTGGTCTCCTCCGGGCCGATGGGCCAGCCGCGCTCAGCCCACAAGCAGCCACCCTCCGCACCCAGCGAGCCCCAGTCCTCGCTGTGCCCCTCTGTATGCACTGAGCTCGCGGAGGAGGAGTTGCAGTAAGTCCTTGTGCCTGCAGCATCCAGGGATCTCGTGCTGTAGGAACCCCTGGCTGTAAGCAGGGACCGTGAAGTACCCCCAAAATATTCCTGGTCTGAGTCTCCAGAGAAAGACTCCCACAGATCTTCAAAGGTCAAGCCCATGTGTCTCTCGTTTCTGGGGAGCTGCTTTGCTCTCAGGAGCATGTCTGAAATATCCACAGCATCACTGAGCTCCAGGCTTTCTCTGCAGAGGTCCCTGTGCACATGTAACGGCGACATCGGGAAGGGGAAAGCGGGGATTTCTCCCTCTCCCACCTCCACGCTGGCACGGTTCAGATCAGCAAACACGTCGGATCCTGCGGCCTCTTGCTCGCCCTGGTTGCAGACAGACTGGGGCTCGCACAGTGGCAGGAGCAATTCCCCTGCTGAAAAAGATGCAGGACTGGCAAGAGGGACGCTGCTTCCTCCTTCCAAATCCTCAGGCAGGATGGGTTCCTTCTTGTGGCTCCCGACCGCATCCACTGCTTCCGTCCCAGGGCTGGCACACCTGGGGCAGGTGCCCACGCAGCAGGACCATGGGGCACCATCTGGAACCGGACTCATGCCAGGAGAGAGCGTCTCAGGGTGCACACCAAGGGCTGAGTCTGGCTCAGCGCTGTGCAGACCTGCCTTGTGACCATGCGGAGGAGAAGGAGGCACTGATCCCAGGTCACCTGGCACAGGCACATCCACAGGGGAGCTCTCCGCCGGCTCTGCATGGCACAGATCCGTGTCTTTTTTCACCTCTTCCGCATATCTGGGCTTTAAGGAGCCATCTGGGCTCTCGGTGGCCACACTCACCTCTGCAGCACCTACTTGCTCGCAGGACTTCCCGTGCTGGCACAGGACTGGCCCCTGCTCGCTTTGCTCTAACAAGTGGTTGTGAGAGTCCGCGTCTCCGCCACGGGGAAGAGGGACCTGCTGGGAGGGAGAAGCAGGAGCCGAGCCTGCGTGGGCAGGTGGAGACAGGCTGTTTGCAGAGCTCTGCTTCATGGCAGATGTCCCCTCTCTCATGGAGGAGGAGGGCTCTGATTCCAGGAGGTGATGAAGAGAGGTCCCTGGCTCCTGCAGTGCATTAGCCACCACCGCTGTGTTCATTTTGTCACTCCTGGGGGACTTGCCTGCACCGAGGCACACATCATCCCTCTCCCAAGCTTCAGAGTCACCTGCTGGGGCTGTACAGCCGAAGGCAACACCCTGGCAATCACCTGCTCCCAAGGACTCATCCAGCACATCTGTGCAGTTGGCAGAAGGGCTGCTACTCTCTTCTTTTGCCAAAACCTTGTTATCTTCTTGGTTTGATTCCCCAGTGCTCAGTGAAGTAAGGTCAGCATAAACATCGCCTCCACACCTTTGGGAAAGGCAGCTGCTCCCTCCCAGGTCGCTCTGTGATGGAGACTGGGTGCTCTCCATGGCCTCCTGCTCCTCTGGAGCAGCCCCAGGATCTGTTGCTACATGAAGAGATGTGAAGCAGACAGAGCTGGAGTCAGGGGCCAAGGTTACTGACCGTCCCTGGCTGCACGGTGACTCGAGGCCAGCTTTGCTCCCAGCAAGCGCCCACCTTTCTGCAGAGGGCGCACGATCCTTGTCTTTCTGCTCCAAGCCGTCACCCAGCGCCTCTCCAGCAGGTCCCACGTTGCCTGTAATGCTGTCAGGCTCTGCCTCACGGACAAGGCTTGGATCGGGTCGTAACAGCAGCATCAACCCGCTGTCACGGGGCGATCCCACCTCGGCTGGACTGGCTGCGTGTGCCAAACCAACACCGTTTGTCTCTGCATCTGGGGTGGCCAGAGCCTCCCAGGGCTCTTGCAACACGTCCAGGCTTGGTGCCATCTCACCAGGAAGCCCTTGAGGGCCAGTCTCAGTCCTTGTCCCATCTGACAGCACTGGCGTTGATCTGCCTGGGCAAGGGGATGCTAAGGCAGCAGGGCTGGGCACAGGGCCCTCTCCAGGAACACCAAAGTCCTTCGGACATACCAAACTCACTGGCTTCTGCTGGCTGTGTTCATGCTCCATGTCAGCATCACCACTTTCAGAAAATGCTAAATCAACAGGCCCCAGGACTGTGCTTTCATATTCAGAGTCCTCTTTCTCTTTTTTTCCCTCCACTGCCTCTTCCTCCTCATTTTCTGGATGTCCAAAGGGGTCTTGTGATTCCCTCCCTTCCTCATGGGCTCCATGGGGCTTTGGACTTTTGGGATGTGCTTCTAAGGGCCTCGAATCACAGGCATGCTGCGGTCCATCGCTGGTGGCCCAGCTGCCATCCTCTGCACAGTGCCCAGCATCTCCCATCCTCTCCCTGTCCTCAGGAGGGCCGGGGCCACTCCCTGACCCTGTGGCCCACCCGCTCTCCTGCTGCTCTCCACATCCACGCAGCGCACTCGGTGCCTCGCTGCTGGGAGCTGTACTGGAATTTGGGGCCTGGTTGCATGGGTGTTCCCTGCCCAGAGCAGCTTGGGGCTTGCCAGCATCGCCAAGCTCATTGGAAGGGCTGGGGGTGATCGTAGCATCCGGCAGTCCCTCCTTGGGTGGCTCCTCCTGAAACAACACAATTCAGAGGTTAACCTTCAAGGGAGGCAAATGCGGGAGATGAGACACCCATGCAGGAGAACTTGGATATTTTAAACGCTCAAACTTTGTGAGTACAGCCATTCCAACAGCATCTGAGGACATTAGTTTGAGTTTATCTCTAAAATAAGTCGAGGTTGAATCCTTACCCCACATGAGTTACTACCATTCACACTGTAGCTGGCAAGCAGAGTTCCACAGACAGGCAGGGAAAGATTTTGAAACTTTCTACCTTCTTTACACCATGAAATGGCTTAAAAATAGGCCAAACTGTGCAGGGGCCATCAGCTGGTGCCCAGAGGTAACGTATGTAGCAGCATCCTCTTATCTCTACTGAGTTTATCCATCCAAGCTATATGGACACTGTGGACAGTGATCCCACATTTCCTCCCAAAACACTTCTGCCTGCTCCACAGCACTAAACCCAGGTGGTAACAAACACCAGGATATTTCTTCCTTTGTGCAAAATAGTTGCAGCCCTATGGCAGCTGCCATTTGCTCAGAGAGGAAGTTTTAAAGGAATTATTTTAACTCAGGCTTGAAAAATGTCATCAGACACCCATGTTTTAATTTTACCCACGCACCTCCACTCCTGACCATCTATAAACTGTAGAAACTATAAAAAATAATTTTAAAAACCCTACCCAGAATGTAATATTAACTAACTTTGCCAGAGGGGTGAGGGAAATGTTGCGAAGCACTGCACTGCTATCTGTCTGAAGGAAACCTCTCCAAGCCAGCAAACCTCAGTGCTCCCAAACGAGCGGAGGAAAGGCTGTGCCGTGTCCTGTGACATGTCTGGGCTGCTGCAACCATGGGCAGACAAATGCAGTTGCCCACAGGAGACAGGCAGGCTTTTGAGTGTGGGCCTGGGGCGTTTGTGGTTCCTCTCCTCCCTCAGTTAAGTGCAGGTCTGAGACTTCGGCCAGGCTTGCACAGCTCGCAGCTGAAACGCGAGACAGATGCTGAGCTCGACACATTCATTGTTCTAATTCTTTGGGATTCCTCCCCCTTGGAGAGCACCCATATTGAGGCCCCGCTATGGAGGGATAGATATGGCTTGTGCCAGAGCCTGGGGATGCCAGCTCAGACCAAGAGGACATCCAAACCTGGATTGAGGCCTGAAAGCTTCTTTTTTATGGTGACTGAGCATGTCTGCGCTGCAATCACCTGGGGCAGCTAAATGCTAGAGAACGTTTCTGTGTCCTGCTTTGGGAACCCCCACTACCTGACCCTAAGAGAGCCCACAAGGACGTCTGCTCTACTCCTCTCAAAAGATCCTACAAGCACAAAATGCATTGTATGCCCTATAGACTCGTATCACCCGAACTCCAAGCTCTTACCGCAGTCATGGTTGAGACGTCATGCACACGCTGCTCAGGAACGACCGCTGGCCGCCTATCTTTCACAGCCAGGCTCTCATCAGCATGCTCAGTGAGGGAAAGGCTCTCGGAACAGCTTGTGGAGGAAGGCTCCTCCTCCCCACAGGGCAGTTCCCCTGAGGAAGATGATACCGTACTATCGACAACACCAGGAGTCCCATCAGCATCAGTCTGAGAGTCTGCAGGGCTCTCCTCTGGGCGGAAAGGTCCCTGGCAATGCGTGCTGCGATCCAGAGAGCTGCTGGGAGTCTGGTCAGGGTCTGACCGAGAGTCTGCAGGGCATGCCTCCAACCCAAAACAATCCTCACCATCATCACTCAGCTCAAGAAAGTCCCCAGTGCTATTTATTGAGACGTACTTCTCAGGGTTGCTGTGCTCCACCACCTTCCTCGTGCTGCTCAGGAGTTTGCTGGGTTTGCTGTAGAAGAGAGCCACCCACATATGAAGTATCAGCTTCATTTCCTCCACATCGTCGGGCAGATCAGGGTCCCAAGGCCTGGAAGGGAAAGCAAACACAGCCTGAAACATCTTCATCCTCCCTCCAGTTGACTAGCACAAGGTAACACATATCCTGGTTCCCCACGGTGCTAAGCCCCAATGCAAGGGGGCTGCAAACGCCCAGCTGCAGACACAAATCACTTGATGTGGTTTCCAGCTTGTTGGAAAAAAAAAGAAACTCACGGCTCTTCTGTTCATGGCTCTAGGCACCAATTCTAGCTGCAGCGTCAGGGGAATCACAGAATGGTTTGGGTTAGGTGGGACCTTTAAAGATCATCTAGTCCAGTTCCCCACTGCCATGAGGGAAGATGCCGGGACATCTGCCACTAGATCAGGGAACTGTATGGGATGCCATCCAGAGGGACCTGGACAAGCTCGAGGAATGGGCCTGTGTGAACCTCATGAGGTTCAACAAAGCCAAGGGCAGGGTCCTGCACCTGGGTCGGGGCAGCCCCCGGTATCAGCACAGGCTGGGGGTGAAGGGATGGAGAGCAGCCCTGCCAAGGAGGACCTGGGGGTGCTGGGGGATGAAAAGCTGGACAGGAGCCGGC